ATTTAAATGGAGTACATACAAACCCTGATAACATTTTTGAAAAGTACATCTTTATATTGCACATTCTTACCCCTTGGTAAAGTACAAAAGGATGGCCTGAGCTTGAAGTTGGAAAAATTCAAAGGTGGGATTGGGGCTGTGGCTCAGTGGTAGCGTACTTGCCTGGCATGTGTGAGGCACTGGGTTCGATTCTCAGCACCACTGTAAAAATGAAACTTTGGAAGTTTCATTCAAAACTAAATATACTCTTATTATACGATCTAGTATTCATGATCCTTGGCATTTGCACACATGAATTGAAAACTTACATCCCCACAAAAACCTACACACAAATATTTACAGTGGCTTTTTAAAATTTATTTTATAAATAAAAATAAAGATCTAGCAACAATTAAAAAAAAAAAAGAAAGAAAAAGAAAAATTCAATGGCAGTGTGAAAATCGGCCAAATTTTTTAACATTATTTTTTATAACATTTATTTTTTTATGTGGTGCTGAGGATCAAACCTAGTTCCTCACACATGCTAGGCAAGTGCTCTACCTCTGAGCCACAACCCCAGGCCCCGAATTTTGGCATATTAAATTAGTAGCATTCTTAGCCTGAAATCTGCATGCACTGTGAGAAAACAACCGTATCTGAAAGGTACAAGGGCTTTGCTAGTGACCAAAATACAAAATGTCTCCATTGCCCTGGCTCCAACGTAAGAACGCTGCTGTGAGTGCAGGGTCACTCAGTACTGCCTCACTTACTGCAGGGTGCCCAAGTCCCAGGCCCTGGACACCCCTGCCAGGGGCAGGCCAGAAACGCCACCCTCAGCTCACTGCACTTGTGCAGATGGGAAATCCCTGAGGCTTGGTGCTGATGTTGGACTCCCACTAGTTTATTAATTCTTGAAAAGCACATTTTTCAGAGGCGACTAAAGCTGAAGTAACCTCGATGTGGGCTTTTTCTGAGTCAGGCAGTGAGATGGTGAGCCACAGATGGTTGTGTCAGAGGAAGGACGACAGGTCATGGGTGTTCTTCAGACCTAAGTTGAAGCCAGACTTGAATCTGCAGCAAAAATGGAGTGCATGATCCTGGAGCTGTGTTCTTGAAGACATCTGGGGTGTAGACAGGATGTGTCACGCTCAGACCCTCCTCTGTATGAGCTGAGGAACGCAGGAGAGGGATTACTGGGGGTGACCACGGCAGGAGTGAGCGTGCCGTGTGCGTGTCCTGAGTGCAGAATAGCCCAGGACGGGGCTCCAGGACCTCGGATGCGGTTGTGGTTCTGTCAGCGCTTTTATGACTAGGAAGGCTGGCCTTACCATACATGAGTGTGGGTTGTTGGGCTTAGTTGTCACTGAGTTGGTTACTTACCCAGTCCTCTGACCTCTCAATTTACAGTCATTTATGGCTTAAGCAGAGAAACGGCACCAAGAGAGAAGTCACACTTTTGAGCACTAGCATGGGCACAGGAAAGCACACATATCATCTTGGAATAGGAATTTTTAAAGCTGCGAGTTACCTCTAAAACCAGGCTCCTTGGATTAAGCATCCTGTTGGAAACCTTTCCCTTGGACCCTTTCGGTGACATACATCGTGTAATCGCACCATTCCCAGAACTCTGACCCCAGGTACCTCCTGTGGACTCACATACAGATTTTTTCACCCTAATATTTCTCCTCGTTCTGTATGTGAGATCATGACTTACTTTTCCTCTGACCTTGCCTCCTCCAAAAGGGAACCCCAAAAGGAGGAAAGAATTGTTACATTACTAAAATACTAAAGGTAAAGCAATATTGTTGATGCCTAAAAATCAAGATTCAGGTGGGGCTGGTTTGTGGCCTAGCGATAGAGCATTTGCCTAGCATGTGTGAGGCACTGGGTTGGATTCTCAGCACCGCATATGAATAAATGAATAAAATAAAAGTCCATGGGGCTGGGGATGTGACTCAGTGGTACAGCACTTGCCTAGGATGTGTGAGGCACTGGTTTTGATTTTCAGCACCACTTAAAAATAAATTAATAAAATAAAGTTATTATGTCCATCTACAACTAAAAAATTTTTTTAAAAAGGTCCATCAACAATTAAAAACTATATAAAAAGATTCAGGTGGATTCGTTTTCTTTTTGTTCTCCAAATTTCTGTTTGGATATGAATATGTTTGATTTTCTTTGCCTGAAGAAACAACCTTAAGCCTTCCTTCTGCAGATACTGACAGAGGATACTGAGATAAATCCTCCTTCACAGTGGCTATTTTTAGTTGTCAATGGACCTTTATTTTACTTATTTATATATGGTGCTGAGAATCAAACCCAGTGCCTCACACATGCTAGATAAGTGCTTTACCATTGAGCTACAACCTCAGCCCAAGAAACCACCTCTTGAATATTACTAATTTTTAAGACATGCTTGCCTCACTTAGTAATTCATCAGAAATGTCTTTTCTTCATTTTTTGGTGTAGACCAATATAATTTTTGATAATAGCATAGTATGCCAGTATGTACTACAAATTGTTGAAGAATACATTACTTGGCATTAGACATGTTTCCAGTTGTTTTATCTATCTATCTATCTATCTATCTATCTATCTATCTATCTATCTATCTATCTGTCTGGTGCTGAGAATCGAACCCAGTGCCTCACACATGCCAGGCAAGTGCTTTACCACTGAGCCACAACCCTAGCCCATGTTTCCAGTTTTTTATTAAAAACTTCCTAAGTTTGGTGGTGTGGTGCACACTTATAACCTCAGTAATTTGGGAGGCTGAGACAGGAGGATCACAATTTTAGGCCAGCCTCAGCAACTTAGCAAGACCCTCAGCAACATAGGAAGACCCTGTCTTATAATAAAAGATAAAAAGGACTGTGAATATAGCTCAGTGTATATAAGTATATATATGAATAAATATATATGCGTTCAATCCTAGTACACTCATACATTCATAGAAATGAAATTTTTCTAAACATATTATTGTGCATACAATTTATGTATCTCTGTATTTTTATTTCCTTATGGTAAATTCCTACAAATGAAATGTAGTGTCACAAATCAGACATCTTATGCACCTGCAATATTTGTAATCTTATAGTATTTGTAATTGGGGTGATTCAGTGACTAAAAATACTACTACTTTTAAAAGCTGACAATCCAACAAAGGACATAAACTATGAATAGGAGTAAGTATAATGCAGTATTCAGGTGCCATACTTTAAGAATTCATGGAAAGGTGGTATTGGTTGAATTCTGGTCATCATTGTAAGCTATGAACAAGTAGGACTGAGCCCATGGAATTTCTATGGAGGTAAGTGGAATTTATTATATAAGCTCTTAGCTTTTATTTATTTATTTTAAGCAATGTTAGATACAAAGAGGGGCTAATGGGATAAGCTGGTTTTAGCAGTTGTCTGGAAGACATCATGGTTAACTAGCAAAATAAACACACTTTTTAAATTCTAATTTGTTATATATGACAGAATGCATTACAATTCATATTGAATGTATTCTGTTTCTGGTTGTATACAGAGTAGAGTCACACCATTTGTGTCTTCATACATGTACTTAGAGTAATGATATCCATCTCATTCCACCATCTTTTCTACCCCCATGCCCCCTCCCTTTCCCTCCCACCCCTTTGCCCTCTCTAGAGTTCATCTAATCCTCCCATGCTCCCTGCCCCCAACCCCATTATGAATCAGCCTCCTTATATCAGAGAAAACATTTGGCATTTGTTTTTTTGGGATTGGCTAACTTTGCTTAGAATTATATTCTCTAACTCCATCCCTTTAGCTGCAAATGCCATGAGTTTATTCTTTTTTAATGCGGAATAATATTCCATAGAAACATGCTTTTTAAAATTTTTTCAACTTTTTTTTTAGTTGTGTTGAACATAATACCTTTATTTTATTTATTTTTATGTGGTGCTGAGGGTTGAACCCAGGGCCTCACACGTGCTAGGTGAGTCCTCTACCACTGAGCCACAACTCCAGCCACTGAAACATGCTTTTTCGCATGTACATTTGTGCATATGCACACATCTGTGTGCATGTGAATGTACCTACACATGTATGCTTTCAATTAGAGTGTGACAATATTATAATTATGAAATATACTTTAAAACAAAAAAATCAAGATTACAAATAAAAAAGTAATGGTAGCATAGAATTCTGTAACAAGACAGAACAAATTACTTTTTAAAAATGTTTTTCTAATTGTCAATGGACATTTATTTTATTTATTTATATGTGGTGCTGAGAATCAAATCCAGTGCCTCACACATGCTAGGCAAGTGCTCTACCACTGACCCACAATCCCAGCCCCCCAAATTACTTTTTTTTTTCCTCTTCCTTTTCCTCATTGTTGGGATTCAAACTCAGGGTCTCTTGTATGCTAGGCAAGTGCTCCATCACTGAACTACACTCCCTGTCTATCTGTCTATCAAATCATATTGTGCATTCTACTTTTTAATGTCAATTTTTGTTGACAGTATATTTGAAATATTTTTCATATTCTTACATATATTTCCCTACTTGCATTAAATGACTATTTTATATTATTACACGTAGGTTCCATAATTAACTACACAGCTGGGTTGGACTCTATACAGAACCAGCCCAAGCAATTTCTTCTGGGTTGTGTTGTCTTCCATATGTGATCAACTTCAGATGATTCTGATGCCATAAGAGGTGTTAGTTTGGGTGATGTGGCCTCTTTCAGCCTTAGAGGATCTATTCATAGAAAGACTGGGGTCTAGATCAACCCCCAAGATGGGGACTTGTCCAAGAAACCTCCTGCTATCATGTCTGGATCTGGTTTCAGTGTAGAGGTGACTTACTTTGCAACCATCTTGTGGGTTTCCTGAGGTTTAGGGGACAGCTTAGATCCATCTTTTTGGTTTTTCCTAAATTATATGTACAGCCGTAGGATAACTAATTTTGGAAGGAGCAATGGAAGAGCAGAAAGATCTTTCTGAACTATGTCATAATGTAACACTAAAACTTTCTTTTTTCTTTCAGCTCTGGATGCTCTGGAGTTTGAATTCTTCTAGTAGTGGAACCCTGAGGAAAACTGATCAGGTCTTTCATTTTTAAAACATGACCTGTGTAAGTTGTTTGTTTATGTTTTCTTGCAATATTATTTTAGGTAAGATGGATTCTTTTCATTAACCTAAATCTTCCTACTTAAGAAGACCTTCCTAGTTCATTTATCTGCTCTCCAGTTTCTCCTAATGCAATGAATTATGAAAGCAAATAACTCAGATTCCTCCCTACAAGTATTTGCTATCCAGTTTGTGTATCAGCTGTCCAATTTACTTATTTTTTTGTGCTTATTCTTCAATCAAATGTTGATAGAACAGTAAAAGAGTTAAGTCCCAGCAGGTAAATATAAGATTCCCTTGTACGTCCCTAGTTTGGTGAATATTGGCCCTATTTGAGTATAACAGGTAGACTTTGAAATAATGCACGTATGTATTCTTATTTTAAAGGCAAATAAGAGGAAATTTGGTTATCACTTGGTCACAGTCTTATTATGTGATGAGATTTCAAGTCCTTTGAGGTTTTTAGAAAGGTTGGACATGTCACGACTTTTGTTAAGGAATTACTGATTGACAAATATATTTATTTTGTGGTTGAATGTATTCTGTTGAATTTGGGTGACATTTATTTGATCATGAGTCATCCTATATCATTGTATACTCGGACAGGGAAGTGTTGAGTGAGAGATGGAGGATGGCAATGGGGGAGAACATTTTCCTATGGAGTAAACATGTGGATTTCCTCTCCTGATTTCTAAAAGGACTTTGAAATTTTTTTCCAATCAAGTAGATAAACATAAAGGATGAATTAATTCTGAGATATCCATAATAAAATGGATTGTTACACAGTAAACCCAAAATTTATCAAAACAAAGAAAATTGCCATTATGTGCTCTGACATAATGATGAACTTGAGACTTGGGGAAATATCTAAGCTTTTCTGTAAAACCTTTTTTGAATATAGAGATTTTTATATTAAATTTGAGAAGGACATACATTTTTGGTTCTTTTTATTTTACTGTTAAAGGTAAAATAATTTAGAAATTAACATTTATTGTTAATTTATGCATTAGGCCTCTAGCAAATTGTGATTATGTCTAATACTTTATTGAATACAGGAACTTGAATTTTATTTCATCCACTGCTCAGCAAACCTAAATTGTTGTGGTTACTCCTAATACAAAGAAAGATTTGCCTGCAGCAATAGAATTCTTCAAGAATGTGTAGATACTCTGCTTTAGTCTGCTACCAGTTATTAGCCTCTTGACTATATCACAGCTTTCCTATAAGGTGCTCTTCTCTTCTGCTTTATGAAAATGTTTTTTAAGTTTCATAATACATGGGTTTGTAGTTTCAGGAATTAGTAACATTCGGGGATGTGGCCATAGACTTCTCTCAGCAGGAGTGGGAATACCTGGACCCTCTTCAGAGGGACTTGTACAGGGATGTGATGTTGGAGAACTATAGGAACCTGGTCTTTCTAGGTAAGTTTATTTGCTTGAAGTAATTTAAAATGTGAACTATGATATGTTAACACAATGATTTTCAAATCTCCCTAAGTTCTGCCAGAATGACAATGACACTGCAATTAAGCACCATCATTTTCTCCATCCTTCAATGACATTCACATCTTCCTATGACATTTATAATAGCCTACTTTCTTTAATATACAAGGGGCCAGGATAAAATTCTGCATATTTATTTAATTAATAACCATGATTTCCACGTTTATTCCAAAAATTTCTATAGATGTGCTCTTTCATCCTCTGGTCCATCTGCAAGGACAATATTTAGATGAAGATTTCCTGATTTTTTCTTTATATGAAAAGAACCTCTAACTTATACAGTAGTGGATAAGATGAATAGTATTTGTTAAAACTGAAGAATCATGGCCAGGTATGGGTGTTGCATACCTGTAATCCCAGTGACTTGGGAGGCTGAGGCAGGAGGACTGCAATTTCAAGGCCTGCCTCAGCAATTGACAAGTCCCTAAGCAATTTAGTGAGACCTTGTCTCCTGACCCTCTCAAAATTAACTCACAAAAAACTAAAGTCCACATTTCATTTCCTGTAACCAATTTTTATGATTTATTGTTGAAAGTTTCAGTCCATGAACTTTGCACTTAATTATTGAATGAAGATTTTGTAAGTCAATCTGGATGTTTCTTGTTATCCTCTTATAGGAATGAAATACTTAAAATTAGTGTTTATTATGTACCAAGCACTTTTCTGGAAAAAAATGAATAAAATGATTCAATCATAAAACAACTACATTGTAGTAGTAGTATTATACCCAGTTTCTTGCCAACATTGGGGAATAGTGAGTTGAAACAACCTGGCCAAATCATAAGATTGATAAGAGGAAGAATCTGTGCCCCAGACCTCTGACTCCAGAGACTTTTGCATTGTTGAACTTTCTCATAAGAGAGAAAAGCTGGCTGGGCACAAACCTGTAACTGCAGCAGCTTGGGAGGTTGAGGCAGGGGGATTGCAAGATTGAGGCTAGCCTCAGCAACCTAGTGAGGCCCTATCTCAAAATAAAAAAAGAAAAGGTCTGGATGTAGCTCAGTGGTAAAGTGCCACTGGATTCAATCCCCAGTACCAAAAAAATAAAAAAGGAGGGGGGGGCGGAGAGATGAAAAAGAAACAGAGAGAACATGAGAGAGAGAGATGGAGAGGGAAGGAGAGAAAGAGAGAAAGACAGACAACTCCTGGCTGGGCACAGTGGTGCATGCCACCTATATTCCGTTATTTGGGAGGCTAAGGCAAGAGGATTTTCTGAGCCCATGAGCTCAAGGCCAGCCAGGAAAAAAACAACAGGACCCTGAAGACAAAAGAGACAGAGCCTGTGTGAGTTTAAATTAAAATAAGGTTTCACCATACCTGCTTCATTTCTTAAATCATTGCACCCCTCTTTTATCTGAAGTCTTTATCACTAACATTTAATCTTTAGTTCATTGCAAATTTAACTAAAGCTCCAGGGTTTCTGTGACTTTGTTTTTATTTTTAATCCATGTGACGTTTCTTTTCTTGTAAGCAGGGCATTCTACTTCTAAGCCAGATGTGGTTGACTTATTGGAGCAAGGAAAAGAGCCCTGGATGTTTCTAAAGGAAGAAACACAAAGACAATACACAGGTATGGGAAAGGGGGAACAGTCAGGGCTGGTAACAACCTGTTTGGTTAGGGAGTCTACAACCTGGTTGTGTTGTAGACTCATGGAACATAGGTCTGTGTCCTGAGAGGAAATAAAGATCTTGGTGTGAGCCAGGGAAGGAACTTCAGCTTTTCCCCATTTATCAATCACCATATTTTTCTTATCTTTCAAACCCATTTTCAATGATGGGGCTCTTTTCCTGGGTTCAGTATTTTAACTATATTTTGGAGTCTACTTTTCAGTTCCCCTTTTGCATACACACAAACACATGTATCAATGCAATGATAGTAAATAAAACTTACAAGGCCCTTGCTTCCAAGAAATTGACATTGCATTAGAGTGAATAGATATGGAAATAAACGGACAACCACATCCTTTTCATCTCTCTCTCTCTCTCTCTCTTTTTCCTAACCATTTGTTGGAAGGAGAGCAGAGGTGGGGCCATTTAGATAAGGTGACTGACTGGGGATGATTCCTCTTAGGTGGTGGTATTTGAGAAGAGATATTATCTAGAGAAGAATATTCCAAGCTGAAGGAAGAGTTCAGAAGCCTCAGGGGTTTTCTGGGGCAAATCAGGAAAAGTAGATAGAGGGTAAGAGGGAGAGCTATGTGAATTAAAGCAGCATCAGATAGACCAAAATAGAGATCCTGAGAGTGACAAGAAATAAAGTCACACTGTTAGGAGAATCAGATCAGATGAGGAATTGTTGATTTTGAATTATTAGTGATAAGAATGCTTAGAACCAATAATATAATTAGTTTTTCATTTTCATTTTAAGCCATTTTTTTTTAAAATATCAAATGAAGACAGAAAACAAATGTGTAGCTTAATGGGTTATAGATGTTAAACAACCATGTCACTATACTCAGGAGTTAAAACTTTAAAAAAATTTTTTTTTGTATTAAAATGCTCCACACATCTCTTTTTTTATTTTTATGTGGTGCTGAGGATCAAACCTAGTGCCTCATGCATGGTAGGCAAGTTCTCTGCCACTGAGTTATAGCCCCAGCCCGAGTTAAAACTTTTTAGAAACTATTTTAATACAATCTCAGAGTTACAAAAAGGTGATGATAATAGCACACAAGATTCTCTATACCCTTCAAAGAATATACATATGTGTGAATATGTGTTGTGTTTGTGTGCCAAGGATTGAACCCAGGGACACTTAACCACTGAGCTATATCCCTAGTCCTTTTCATTTTGAAATGGTTTCAAAATGTTGCTTAGGGCCTTGCTAAATTGCTGAGGCTCACTTTGAACTTGAGATCCTCCTGCCTCAGCCTCTGGATTCACTGGGATTATAGGCATGTGCCATCATGCCAGTCTGGAGATAAACTTTTGTAGTCAATTTTAGATGCTCCAAACATCTCCACCCAATCTCAATCTTCTCTCTCCTGCTAGGTGCAACCAGTATTGCTGTTTTTTTTCCACTTGTTTCTTTGAATGCTTAGAACCAATAATGTAATTAGTCCTAGGGATGGAACCCAGGGCTTCATTCATGCTTGGCAAGTACTTCCACTGAGCTATCCTCCTAGCCCCACTATTGTAATTTTAATAGTGATAAGCCTCTTCCTGTTTTTCTTCCTCCAGTTTTTTATATGTCATTTAAGTCTTCTTTAATCTCTAAATTTCCTTTTCATCTTTCTCTCTCTCTCTCTCTCTCTCTCTCTCTCTCTCTCTCTCTCTCTCTTTTGTTCCTAACCATTTGTTTGCTCAAGAAACAATATCCCAGCTGGGTGCAGTTAGTACATGCCTATAATCCCAGTGGCTCTGAAGCTGAAGCAGAAGAATCCAAGGTTCAAAGCCAGCCTCAATCAGCAACTTAGTGAGGCTCTAAACAACTCAGTGAGACCCTGTCTCTAAATAAAATATAAAAAAGGTCTGGGGATGTGGCTCAGTGTATAAGCACCCCTGGGTTCAATCACTGGTAACAAAACAAAAAATGAAGCTTAATCAGATTTAGATTCAATTATATTCTTCCCATTGTACCACATCACAAAATAATGATAGTTCATTGCATTGGCAATGCTAATATGATAGTTTAGGTAAATGGAACTTTGTGCCCCAGGTAGTGCTAAGAATGTGCCATTTTGTCTCTTTTTTTTTTTTTAACCAATAAATAATCTGCAGTGTGATACTGTGGGCACTGTATTTCCCCACAAGTATTCCCTAGTAATGACTGAAGCAGTTAAGATGGTAGTGACTTTTCTGTCATTTCATTCTACATTCATTGTCACTCTTTTTCTTATTTTTTTTACTGTCATTCTTTTATGAAGAACTCTTGGTTTTTATTTTATTTTTAATTATTACAGACTTTCAAATTTTATTTATTATTTTAAAATATTTTTTATTTTGAAATAATTTTAAATTTATGTAAGTATTACAGAGAAGATATAGTTACTGTTTACCCTTCACTCAGCTTTCCCAATTATTAATAGCTTGTATAATCATAATACATTTATCAAAACAAAGCATGTACTTGTATTCCTAGCTACTGTGGAGGCCGAGGGAGGAGGGTAGCTTGGACTCCATGCTCAGTGAGGCTTCCTCTCGGGGGGGGGGGGGGGGGGGGGGGGGGGGGGACACCTAAGCAATTAACATTTATACAATACTACTGATACTAGTAAATGGTAGGCTTTATTCACATTTCATCAGTGTTTTCACTGATTTCTTTTTCTGATTTAGGACTTGATCCAAAATACTATTTAGTCACTATCATATTAGCATGTTTCTCAGTCTTTTTCCAATCTATTCCAGTTTCATGGACTTTCTGTCTTTCATGTCCTTGGCACTTTCTGAGAGGATAGTTACTAGGAGGCAGAATATTCCTCAATTTGGTTTGGTCTAATAACTTTCTTATAAGTAAATTGTATTTTTGGTAATAATCCCATAGAAAAGAATGGTGTGTCCTTCTCAGTACATTATGTCAGTGGGGTGCTATGTGTGTTATTACTGGTGCTCTTAAAATTGATCGTGGTAAATGGAGGTCTGTTGGGTTTCTCTGTAGCAAAATTATTACATTTCCCTTTAAAACTGATAAATATCTTGGGGGAGGTTCTCTGAAACAATATGAATATCCTATTTCATTTCCAATCCACTGACTTTCAGCAGCCATCAGTGTATTTTGCTTGCACCAGTTTTTACTTCAGTGTTTGCCTAATGGTAGTTTTTGTATTTTCCTTTTTATAAGTTTATTAATTGGAATTCTTCTATGAGGAAAAACTCTTTCTTCTCTCTTTCCACTTATTTATTCCACTGTTTATATTGGTGTAGACTCATTGATGTGTATTTATTCCATGGGTTATAATCCAGTACTTTGACTATTTTTATTCAGCTCAGACCTTTGGGAGCTCTTCTTTCAGGTAGGCTCCAGTGCTCTTTCAACACGTACCAGCCTTTGGTGAGAATGTCTTACTCTTTGGCACTATGGTTGTTATTCTAGGATCATATTTTTCTGCCCCAGCCCTAGAATCAATGACTTCTTCAAGGATCCCAGGTTCCTTTTATTGGAAACTGGTATTTAGAAATCCAGATCGAGACACGAGGTGTGCTTACTGCTCCTGGGCCCTTTTAGCTACTAGGTTCTCTTTAGCTGACACAGCTGGGTAGTGTGTTACTATGTATGGTGATGTGGCTAAGTGTTTCTGAGTATTTTCCTGTTGTTTGAAAGCTGCAACACCAAAGCAAGCTTTCTATGAAGTTCAAGCTCCAAATCACATGTGTGAACGTTCTTAGTTTGAAACACATTAAAGGCAGTTGAATTTCTTACCACCAAAAATGTTTTTTTTTTAGTTCATCATGTTCATATTGTATATATACGAAAGGAATGGCCCCACTGGCATAAAATCTAATCCTTTATCCAACTGCAATGAAAATAATCAAAAACTAGTCAAGCTTTTCCCGTGTTTAAATTAGGGCAAAAAGATAAGCAATACAATATTTTACCCTCCAATTTAAACTATAAGACTAACAAAAGTAAGGTGATTGAAAAATAAGGATAGTTAAAAAAAACTTTAAATACATGTTTATATTTTATTAATTTTTAATAAAATTTCAGGTTACAATTGATAAATTAAAACATTGCAATGTCTATAATACATAATTATATACCTCTATAAAATATGTCCTAATCAGTTACTGATATATTTGGAAGCAACTGATTTTTGTCTGAAGATATCTTATTGTTACATCTTTGTTATTATGGTAATTGTTACAATTTTGAGTTGGACTTACTTGTTCTTAACTTTTTCTCCTTTTGTAATGTTTGAGGAAATATGCCAGAAAACCATGGGAGCTTTGAGTTTCCGTTTTCACTTTTCTTCTTTCCTTAGATATATTTACATTTACTTTATAAGTTATTTTTCTACTTCTTTAACTGCATCAAATATAATTGGATATAAACATACTATCATTAGGTTTAAAATCATTTCTGTGTGAAAAGTTAGAAAGCATCTTCTTATATCCTGATTGGCTTTTTCCTTCTTCAGCTTTTTATTTTGAAAATTATTAAGCCAAGTGAGAATATTTAAAAATATACATAATTAATTATCCTTCACATAGACTTAACTTTGGTTATTAATAGTTTGCCTTACTTTTCTTTCTGTATATGCAACTTTCTTCTTGGCCCACTTGATAGTAAGTAGTAGTTATCATTGAGTTTTACCTCTTCATTATGTCCATCTCTTAAGAATAAAGGCATTCTTCTACATAACCACAATAATGTTATGATAGTAATTAAGTCTTACCTACTATAGAATCCATATTTAAATTTTCGAAATGCCACTTATAAAATTTGTTTAGGGGGCTGGAGTTGTGGCTCAGAGGTACAGCACTTGCCTCACATGTGTGAGGCACTTGGTTCAGTCCTCAGCACCACGTAAATATAAAATAAATATATTAAAAAATTGTTTAGGGCCAGGCACAGTGGTGTACACGTCTAATCCCAGAAGCTTGGGAGGCTGAGGCAGGAGGATTATAAGT